TGTACATGAGATGCAACAGTTTTCTAATATATTTTTAATGGAAATACAAATGAATTAAGCGCTTTATATGAGGGGGCACCCAAAATCCCCCAGAATTCACTTATAAGATATTGTGTATTTATTGCTACATGTTCAAACTTCAGTCATCTTCAGAGTACTCTCCATTTGATGCAGTACACCTACTGAGACGCTATTTGAGCATTTTTTCCACTGCTCCAGTTTTCGAACTCATCGATTTTGATGACATTTTGTGCTTCTGCCATTTTTTGTTTCACCTCTTCCTCATCAGCAAAACATTTTCCTTTGAGGGCCTTTTTCATCTGGGGAAACAAAAAAAGAAAAGTCGCTCAGGGCAAGATCAGGTGAGTACAGAGAGTGGGGAAGGTGGGTCATGCTGTTTTTTGGTCAAAAGATGCTGAATGCTCAGTGCTTTGTGGGCAGGTGTGTTTGTAAATCATCTATCATGAAATGGGCAAACACAATGAAAGGATCTTCAAAAAAAAGTCACTGAAGCTGAATGCAGCATCTCATAACAACGCCAGCTGGGATACTGATATAGATGGGTTCCTAGAACACTCACCCAGTGGGGGAATCCTGTACTACAAATGGCCCACCCTCCAGAAAAGAATTTTCATTTTTTGGAGGGTTTCTTCCTCATATATTGTAATATATGTACAGGGTAGGGCAAAAGTAGGTTTACTGTTGTTCATATGGAAAAATAATACAGTAAATAATAATGTAAGAATAAACTCTTTGTTTTGTGTACTCAAAATTGTAAACCTACTTTTTGTTCTACCCTGTATAATTATATATATAATTTTGTAGTCTGTATAGAAAGTCTTAGGAGTGTCTCACATCTGTTGACCTAGTAATCTCAGTTCTAGGATGTTTTCCCATGAAGGTAGTAAGGAAAAATGAGAAAGAACAGAACAGAATGGTTTACATAGTAGAATTGTGTCATTATAAAAATGCACAGAACAACGGTTAGAAGCAAATACACCAAAATGATGATAGTGGTACTATATGATGATTTTATTTGCTCCCTCATACTTTTCTATGGTGAGCATGCACTTTTATTAAAATCATAAGGAAAAAAACTTAAACTATATACCTAACTGTAATACTCAGCTATATTTACCTTCTTCAAATAGCTGGAAAGGGAGAAATCTTAGCCTATTATTCCATTAATAAATGGTAAGTTTAATTGTCATTTTTTAAAAGTTTACTTTGTAATACTCTTAAAAAATTGTTGTGAAATGAGGGTTAACACATGCTGTAGGATAAATCCGATGTCTGAGAGAAAAGAAACTCAGTGGTTTCGGGGGCAGGTTGTGGTCTGTACTTTTGGTGTGTGCTTCTAAATGATCTGAGTTCCAGCTCATGAAGCAGGAGAGGACTGTGATTGTGGTTAAGGGTCCATTTATGCTGTTTCTAACTATCTTGTCACCCATTTGACATGTCTTTTGCAAAATAGGAATCATCTAGTATTCCCGTGATCTGTTGTTGGCATACTTTTGTAATAAAGCTTCTGTGTTTACATGCATTTTAGGTTACCATACATTTTATTTAAGAGTCATTCATTAAGTAGTACTTTCAGTCTGCTAGGAACTTTGATAACCAGAGGACGTAAAACCACACAGAGGTCCTGTGTCCTGAACAGCTTTTCTTAGACATAATTCGTGATTAATGTTGTGGTGGAATAAGATGGTATCTGATTAGAGAAGCCAGAATTACAACATTCTAACTCGGCCAATCTGTGAAGTCTCATATGGAACTAAGTGTATTGAAATTCAAGGCTGAGTAATACTTTATTGGCTTAGGTATAGGCCCGCTGCTTCAGTATCCAGAGAACTATGTTATTCTGTAAGGAAGATACTGTCTTTAACTAATTAAATCTGCTTTCTCATCTTCCTCTAAACTTAAATACAAGTCTCAAATCTGATTGCTATGTGGAGGCAAAAGACCACACCAGCTAGTGCTCAAGAAAAATATGCAAGAAACAAAGAGTTCTTCCCAAATACCCATATAGATTTACTTGAGTATCTAGCAATCTAATATGCGACCTACTAACCAACGGCCCACCATTACCCTTGGCCCAGTTTCTATACTTGAAAAAAGGGAACAGAAGAAAAAGAGAAAGGAATAAGAAAAAATGTCTTGGTGCTCCAAACAGCCTTGTAGTATTTTTGTTTAAACCTCTGGCAGCATGGAAGGATAAGGGTACATTACCTAGAAATTCATGTTATTTGTAAAATTATGTTTTAAAAGTTTCAGTGTGGTAACAGAGAGGTTAGAAGCCAGAGTTTCAGAAGAGCTTAATAAATAACCTTTTTCTCCAGGTATTTCAGTAATAAAAGTGTTGTGAAACTATAAATACATAATTTGTTTCTATAGCGATTTATCCTCTTTATTATCACCAGCACTATTATTGGCACAGATTCTAACATCTTTAGCATCAACTATTACTTGACAAATTAAACACTAAGTCATTTCAACAAACCAACTATTTTTCCTATTGTAACAACTTTTCCTGTGTTTAGTTTTTATTATAGTTTTTACCCTCCTGATTGAATTATAATGAGTAATGGTCTCAGTAATGCAAATGTAATCATCTAGTTAAAAAGTCATGTCCTATTAAAATTGTATTAAAAATGACACTTTAGGAGAAATTTCTATAATAATTTTAGCTCAATGCAGTGACAGCATCCATTACCACAGGGGCTGATCATTTGTTTAGAGGTATCTTTTTTAAAGTTTTCATTTATTTATCTTTAGGAAAAGGGAAGGGAGGGAGAAAGAGAGGGAGAGAAATATCCATTGGTTGCCTCTTGCACACCTCCAGCTGGGAGACCTGACCCTCAGCACCGTCATGTGACCCAACCGGGAATCGAACCAGTGACCTTTTGGTGTTCAGAATGACACCCAACCCACTAAGCCACACCAGTTAGGGCTGCTTATAAGTGTTAACATACCCAAGCAATATACTTTTTGGAATGGAAAATGAAAGGAGGTGTATATAGATCCTCAAATACAACAGTAAAATAATATATGTCAGACATTTAATAAAGTAAGCATAAAATGAAGGTTACTGTTGTTGAGGAGGATAAAGGGGAGTCAAGAATGACTTCCAGGTTTTCTGTTTGGACAGTGAAAAAGAGCTAGTTTCAGAGAGTAGGAAATTTGATTCCTAGACATATTACCTATGAAAAATCTGGGTGGAAATGTTCCCTGGTAGATGTCAAAGAAGGGTATGACACTCATGAGGGGTATTTGAGCAGAAGGGACAGATTTGGAAGACAGCTGTTTACATACACATGGTAGTAATAAAAGTTATGCAAGTGGATGAGCTAACCTAAGGAGAGAGTTAGAATAAGGGAAGTCAGAATCCTAAGGAATGGCGTGTATGGGTGTGGTTAGAGAAGGAGGAGGAATACTAGTGGCAAATAGTATCAGAGAAATACCAGGAGGAGAGCATTTCAGGAAGAGAGTGAGATTAGCAGCTCCAGGTGCTCCAGAGAAGTGAATAAGATCAGAGGGAAGAATATGTTTGGGTTTATTAACAAAGAATTGTTAATTCTCCCAAATGACAGTAGTGTGAGGAGAGAATGGGAATTTTCAAGGGGGCCAGAATGATCAGTGGTATCAAATGCTGCAGAGCACTCTTGTAATGGTCATTGAGAAAAGGACATTGGATCTGGCCATTAGGAGGAAGTCCATGAACCAGGAGTGAAGTCTTTGAGGTGGAGTCCATTGAATGCCAGACTTCAGACAATGGGGAATGATTGAAAGTAATTGCGCATGGAAGTTATGTAATCAGAACAGCATTTAAACATTTTTTTTCTGGCAGCAATTTGAAGGATTAGATGGGTAGCCTGAGTCTTAGGCTGGTAGAGGCATGAAGTGACAAGAACCTGGACCAGGGTGGTGGTCCTGACTGACAACAGAAAGTTAAGATGGGAGCAAGAGCTATACTCTGCTGTTATGTCCTTTTTAACTTGGCTGTCACATGGATTATAATTAATAAGTAAGGAAGTAAGATAAAATTTGACCTTTTAAGGTTTTGAATGTAAGAAGGAGAATTGTAGTAACATTTACCAAAACGGGGAACATTAGTAGAGGCAAGATTTGAAGATGGAGTCATATTTAAGCTTTCCTTCATTAAGCTTATGTTATTGAATGGCAGGTTGGACACCATTCACGTGCACATAAGGATCAATTTAAGCCATGTAAATAGCTATTATTTATCATATTATATATTATTTATTGTATTTTTCCCTAAGTGAAGAAGCCAAATTCATAGAAGTGCTAACCTGAGAGGTGAAGTATAAGCTATATAAAATGAGTGGGAAAATAATAATATTCTGAATGTCTGTTTTATGATTATAATAACAGTAGGTAATAAACGTGGGTGGTTTTGCATTTTGCAAAGCAATTTAACTTCATGTGTGTAAAAAAAAAAAACTCACCAATAAAGAAATGTTTGCTTAATTTGAAGTGTTTAGGAATGAGAGGTGTTCATAAAACTTAATCTTTTTAGTTATTTTTCATTCATTTTCTTGGAGTGAATGAAGTATGTTGCTTACTATGGAAGTAATAATAATGCTTTGTATTTATATAGCATCTTTCATCTGAGGATCTCAAAGTGCTTTTCAAATAATGTCTCATGAATCCTCACAACACTTCAGTGAGGTAGGTAGGTGGCAAGTATTACTATCTTCATTTTACAGATGGAGAAATTAAGCCACAAGATAGTTAAATGATTTACGTATGTAGATGTACCAACCAGATGTAGAAGCAACCTGAGCTACTAAAGTAAAAATAATTATATTTTAGGAGGATTGGCATAGTATAAATCATTAACCTCTTTGCTTTTGTACTTTACATAGATTATCTATTAAAACAAATACGGTCAGCTTTATAATGTTCACATTAAAACTAGTGTTTTCTTTTCTACTTTAGAGTAGAAAATATTATAATACTCTTTTTCTCCCTATTTTTAGGTCAGCAGCAAGGACAAGATGGAGTCAAAGTCCAACAAGCTACAATAGCTCCTGTAACTGTAGCAGTCGGAGGAATTGCTAATGCTACGATAGGTGCTGTTAGTCCTGACCAACTCACACAAGTGCATTTGCAGCAAGGCCAGCAAGCTTCTGATCAAGAGGTACAGCCTGGCAAGAGGCTTCGAAGAGTTGCCTGTTCCTGTCCTAACTGTAGGGAAGGAGAAGGAAGGTAAAAATGCTCAATTACCAACTCTCTCTCTGGAGGGCGTATAACATTGTTAAAACCAAGACATTGGTTGGGTACTTAGATCATTAGAATATCACTTGCTCTTTTAGTCCAGAAGTTGAGATATAATGTTGTCATGAAGAGGATTAAATTGAGCTGTTCTAGGAACGGTTCTCTACCTGGTACCTTATACTTTTTTGCAATTGTTTACTTTTTTTATTTAGCATGTAAAAGTTTAAACTTTACTGACGTAAAACTCACCATACAATTCAGTCATTTAAAGTGTACATTTTACTAGTTTTTAATGTATTTACAGAGTCGTGTAGCTATCCATTAACTACAATTAATTTTGCACATTGTCACCCTCAAAAGAAGCCCTATATTCTTAACCATCACCCCCTCAATCACCAACTCTTCTAGCTCTAGGCAACCACTGAAACTGTTTCTGTCTCTAGATTTGCCTATTCTAAATATTTCACATAATGGAATCATATAATATGTGGTCTTTTGTGACTGGTTTTATTCAAATAGCGCGTTTTGAAAGTTTTTTCTGTATTATAGCATGCATTAACACTTTATTTTTATTTTTTATTTTTTTAAGATTTTATTTATTTACCTTTAGAGGGGAAGGGGAGGAGGGAGGGAGAGAAATATCAATGTATGGTTGCCTCTCATGCGTCCCCTGCTGGGAACTGGCCTGCAACCCAGGCATGTGCCCTGACTGAATTGAACCGAGATACTCTGGTTTGCAGGCCCATGCTCAATCCACTAAGCTACACCAGCCAGGGCTATTTTTTTTAATGACAAAAACATTCTGTTGTATGTCTATATAATATTTTACTTATCCAGTCATCAGTTGATGGACATTTGGATTTTCTACCTGTTGGCTATTAAACTGCTGTAAACATTCTTATACAACTTTTTATGAGGTCATATGTTTTCATTCTCTTAGGCATATACCTAGGATTGGAATTACTGGTTCATAATGGTGACTCTAGATCTGTTTGAGAAACTGCCAGATGTTTTCCAATGTGGCTGTGTTATTTTATGTTCCCACCAGCCGTGTATGAGGGTTCTGATTGCTCCACATTATAGCCAACACTTGTTATAATCTGACTTTTTGATGATCTCTATCCTAGTGGGTATGAAGTGGTATCTCACTGTAGTTTTGATTTACATTTCTCTGATGACTGATGACATAGAGTAGGGGTGTCAAACTCATTTTCACCAGGGGCCACATCGGCCTCAAGGCTGCCTTCAAAGGGCCGAATATAATTTGAGGATTATATAAATGTAACTACTCCTTAACTAGGGGCAAGGAGCTTGGTGCTGCTGCTGAGTAGAAACAAGGTGCTGGTCTGGATTTAGCCTGCATTCAGCCTGTGGGCCTTTTGTTTGCCACTTGTGACATAGAGTATATTTTCATGTGCTTGGTGGCAATTTGTGTATCTTTTTAGAGATATATCTATTAATATCTTTTGGGTGTTTTATTTCTTTTTGTTATTTTATCATTGAGGTTCTTTATTCTAGTACAGGTTCCTTATCAGATACATGATTTGCACATGCTTTCTCCCAGTCTGTGAGTTGTCCTCTCTCCCTTGATAATGTCCTTTGAAACACTGAAGTTTTTATTTTGATGAAGCTTAGTCTTTTCTTTGGTTACTTCATTTTTTGGTGTTGTATCCAACAATTAATTACCAAATCTGAGGTCACAAAGATGCCTAGTTTTCTTGGGCATCTTGGGCAAAGAAACAAAAAGAAACTTTTGTTTCTTTTGTAGCTTTTGCTCTTACATTTAGGTCTTTGATCAATTTGGGCTTAATTTCTTTTATATGGTGTGAGGCAAAGGCTCATGCAACACCATTATTGAAAAGACCGTCCTTTCCCCATGTACTGAATGGTCATGGCATTTGTGTCAAAAAAGCAGTTGACCATGGATACATAGGTTTATTTCTGGATGAATAGTTCTATTTCATTGATTTATAGATCTCATTGTATGCACCCTGTGTTGATTATTTTGGCTTTGTAGTAATTTGAAATTGGGAAGTATGAGTCCTCTGACCTTGTTACTCATTTTCAGTGTTGTTTTGCCTCTATAGGGACACTGGAAATATGTCAATTTTAGAATCAGTTTGCCAGTTTTCTATAAAGAAGGCAGATTGGGCCCTGGTTGGTGTAGCTCAGTGGATTGAGCATGGGCTGTGAACCAAAGGGCTGCTGGTTTGATTCCCAGTTGGGGCATATGCCTGGTTGCGGGCCAGGTCCCCAGTGGGGGCCATGTGAGAGGCAACTGCACATTGACGTTTCTCTCTCTTTCTCCTTCCCTTCCCCCCTCTCTAAAAACAAATAAATAAAATATTTTATTTACAAAAAAATAAGGCAGACGGGATTCTCTCAGGGGTGACATTGAATCTTTAGATCAGTGTTGCCAGTTTAAGAGCATTAAGACTTCAGAACCAAATACATGTTATATGTTTTTGTGTTCATTTAGGTCTTCTTTAATTTCTTTCAACACTGTTGTGTAGTTTTCAGAGTTTAAATTTTACACTTCTTTGTTAAACTTAATCCTGAATATTTTATTCTTGTTGATGCTATTGTAAATGGAACAGTTTTCGTAATTATTCATTGCATATGTCTACCAGTACTGCTTATTTTTGTGCATCTTGATCCTGCAGCCTTGCTGAACTCTTTTATTAGTTCTACTACCTTTTTAGTGGATTTCTTCGTGTTTTTCTATATGTAAGAGCTCGTCATCTGCAAATATAGTTTTATTTTGTCCTTTCCATGCTTGACTTTTATTTCTTTTTCTTGCCTGTGATAATTGTTCTGTCCAAAACCTACAAGTGCAGTGTTGAAATAAAGTGGTGAAAGTGGACATCATTTTTCTATTACTGGTCTTAGGGGAAAAGCAGCTAGTCTTTTACCATTAAGTATGGTATTAGCTCTGGGTTTTTCATGAATGCCCTAAGTTAGGTTAAGAAAACACACTATTTCTACTATATTGAGTATTTTTTATCTTGAAGGGTGTTGGATTATGTCAAATGCCTTTCAGCATCTATTGAGCTGATCATGGAGTTTTTGTGTTTTATTCCATCAATGTGGTATATTACATTAATTGATTAATGGATGTTAAAGTAGTTTTACTTTCATAAGGTTAAATCCAACTTGGTTTATAATTATTTTATACGTTGCTAGATTTGGTTTGCTAGTATTTTGTTCAAGATTTTTGCATCTAGGTTCATGACAGGTATTGGTTTGCAGTTTTCTTAAAATGAATGTCTTTGCTTTCATGGAATGAGTTGATAAGTGTTCCTTCCAGTTTTATTTTTGAAAGAGTTTGTTGAAAAACTGATGTTAATTTTCTAAATGTTTTGTGGAATTTGCTAGTGAAGCCCTGGGCTTTTCTTACGGGTATTTTTTTAACTTCTAATTCAGTCTTTTTTCTTGTTATGGGTTTCTTTCATTCTGGTTAGTTGTTCTTGAGTCAGTTTTGGTACTTTTTGTCTTTCTAGGAATTTGTCCTTTTCATTTAAGTTATTTTAAGCAATTGGCATGTAATTGTTCTTGTTTTACGAAAATATTGAATTAGAGATTGAAATCTCCAACCGTTGATGAATTATCTGTTTCTCCCTTCATTTCTGTTAGTTTTTACTTGCTGTTTTGGGACTCTCTTGTTACTGTCCTGTTTAACTGAATGTCTATTTATAATTGTTACGTCTTCCTGATAGATCAACCCATTTATCTTTAATAAATTGTCCTCTTAATCTTTGATTACATCTTTTGTTTTAAAGTTTGTTTTGTCTAATGTTAATATCACCACTCCAGCTTTCTAGGGGTTGTCGTTGGCTCATCTATTTTTATCATTTTACTTTCAGTCTCTTTGCATCTTTCAGTGCAAAGTGTGTCACCTATAGATAGCATAGAGTTGGATCTGTTTTTCTAAACCTCCAATCTGACAAAATCTGTCTTTGAATTGGATTGTATACTTCATTCACATTTGATGGTACTGACATAGTTGAATTTACAACTGTCATTTTATTTTCTCATATCTTATGCCTTTTGTTCCTCTGTTCTTTCTTTACTTCCTTTTACATTAAGTGACTGTAGCGTTTTAACTTTAATTTAGCACTTTAACTTTATTAATGATTTTTAAAATTATATTATTTTGAGTTACTTCTTTGGTAGTTTTTCTAAGCCTTACCATACGTAGCTTAGTTTATGATCACTTTAAGATTTATAGTAACTTAATTCCAGTGAGTTATAGAAAAGTTACTACTACATGGGTCTATTCTCTTTTGCTTGTTTTTGTGGTATTATTGGTATACATAGTATAAATTATACAAACTCAGTAGTACATTGTTATAATTATTACTTTATCTAATTTTACTTTTTTTAAACAAAGGGGAAAGACAGGGAGTGTGTATGTATAGCTTTTGCTATGTTAACTGTATCAATTCAAGTTTCCTTTATGTGTTCCTGTGGACTTGAGTTCCCATCTGGGGTCATTACCGTAGCACAGTACAGCATTGCTCTCATCCTCCCACTTTGTGCTGTTTTTGACAATATATGTAACAATGTATTTTTGGCAGATATATGTTACATGTATTTTCATTTCTATAATGTTATAGGCTTGACAATACATTTTATACATTTATAAAATTGCTTTTACTTTTTTATTGGTCAATTAATAAAAAATTGATTTTAGAGAGAGGAAATGAGAGAGAACACCATCGATTTGTTGTTTCATTTATTTATGCATTCATTAGTTGATTCTTGTATGTGCCCTGACCAGGGATTGAATCGACAACCTTGGCATATCAGGACGATCCTCTGAGCTAATTGGCCAGGGCCTAAAATTGCTTTTTAAATAAATTAAGGGGAGAAATATGAAGTTCTACTGCCCTTTATTACTACATATTTATCAGTGCTGGCCCTCTTTTGTTTCTTTGTGTGCAATAGAATTACTTTTTGGGTTCACTTGCTGTCAGCTTAAACAAATTTCTTTAGTATTTCTTGCATAGCAAGTCTGCAAGCCCTAAATTCTGTCAGTTTTTGTTTATCTGGAAATATCTTTATTTCACCTTCAATTTTGAAAGATAGCTTTGCTGAATATAAGATTTTTTTAAAGTTTTTTTTCTTTGAGAACTTTGAATATGTTTTCCCACTGCCTCCTGAACTCTTGTCTCTATTGAGAAATCATCCTGTTAATCTTTGTGGGGTTCCCTTGTAAGTGATGAGTCATTTTTCTCCTGCTGCTGCTTTCAAGATTTTTGTCCTTATCTTGGATTTTAAGATTTTTAGTATAAAGTATCTGTGAATCTCTGTGTTTATCCTACTTAGAGTTTGTTCAGCTTCCTGCATGTGTAGATTAATGTTTTTCAGTAAGTTTTCACCATTGTTTCTTTGAAAATTTTTTTCTACTCTCCTCTCTCCTTCCTTTACTCCTCCTCTCCCTACACTCCTCCTCCCTGTTCTGCCCACCCCTACTGTACGTTGGTGTCCCACATTTCTGTGACACTGTGAGACTGTTAATTTTTCCTTGTTCTTTTTCTTGTTTTTGGATTACATAATCTCTATTGATCTATGTTCAACTTCTCTGTTTCTTCTCTTGAGTACCTCCAGTGAATTTTTCATTTCAGTTGTACTTTTCATCTCCAGAATTTCCTATTGTTTTTTTAATCATTTCTCTTTATTGATATACTCTGTTTGACGTCACATTATCATTATGCTCCTTTAATCATGGTGACAGTTCTTTCAGCCTATTTATTTATTTATTTATTTATTTATCTTTAGAAGGGAAGGGAAGGAGAGAAAGATCAGTGTATGGTTGCTTCTGGTGCGTCCCGTGCTGGGAACTGGCCTGCAACCCAGGCCTGTACCCTGATGAGGAATCAAACCATGATCTTTTGGTTCGCAGGCCCATTGCTCAATCCACTGAGCTACACCAGGCCAGGGCTCATCCTATTTATAATGGCTACTTTGAAGTCTTGTTAAATCTGGTTGCTGTCACAGGTAGTTTCTCTTCCCTGATTTATGGGGTATATGGGTCATACTTTCTTGTTTTGGGGTTTGTTTTTGGTGGGGGGGATTTTTGGCATGTCTCGTAAGTTTTTGTTGTCAACTGGACGGTTTGGATAATACTTTGTAACAACCCTTAGTCCTGCCCCTGTCCTCCCCTTCCCCTATCTTATTGTTGTTTACTTATTTATTTAGAAACTGGTTGGATTATTTTAGAAATACCTCTGGCACCTTGGGAAGTATGTTGCTTCTCAGTGGATGCAGACTTGAGTATTCTAATAGTGACTCAGGGATGACAGTAGTTTTGGCAGGGATCTTTTTGATGGTCTTTCCCTGACCACACCCAAGCTATTAAGCTCCTCTAATTGCCAGCTGATCGCTCTATTGTTTTCAACAGTGCCCTGGAGCATACATCATTCTACCATCTGATCCCATCAGATTCCTTTAAAATCACTAGGTCTGTGTTGGAGATTTATTCTGACTTTGGAGGACCCCCCCCAGCTTGCCTCTTTTCTGGCTTCTGTCAGGCAATCTAGACAGCCTCCAGTTTAACCTGTTTCTCCCATGACTGTATTTGTCTAGTCCTGGTTACCTTTTGCAACAGAGTCTCCAATGTGTTTAAGAAATCCCTGAGGCTAAAACTTCTCCACACTTTGTTGCAAATGTTTGAGAGTCAATTTTGAGGGGGAAGAGATTTGGAGTTTTCTTTTTATAGTATGCTCTCACCCTGGCCTAAATCTCTGTGTCTTAGCCCTTGAACTGGGAGTTGAGACAGTGAGTGGCGCCTTTCTCTCTCAGTGGCATCCTTGCACGCTCACAGGGGAGTCCACCTTTTGGCATCTCTGGGCCACCCATTAAATACATTGAGACATGTGATCACACACACAAAAATCTCATGAAGTTTTAAGTAAATTTATAGTTTTGTGTTGGGCCTTATTTATAGCCATCCTGTGTCATGTTTGGGTCACGGACTGTGGGTCAGACACCCCTACAGAAGCTGAGTGCTTGTGGGCAGGAAGGCATCAATAGCCTCAGGTTTTCTTGGCTTGCTTCTCTTGGCTTGGTACCTCTGATTCACAGACTGCAGCTGATCTGGGTATCCAAGGTAGAGTCTATGTAGTCGGGATTGAGTGGAAGAAGGGAGTTCCTTGCCTGTCAGCCACACTGACCTAGAATTTAGTCTCAGCAACAGGTAGCTGGGGGGTAGAATAACCCTTGTAAAGAGATAGCCATGGACTAGAAGGCGGGAGGAGAGGAATCTGTTCTTGGCTACACTAGACTGTAGTGTTTCTGAATGAAGGAAGGTAGCAGGGAGAAGGAGAGAGGGAGTAGGGAGTGCCATGGTTCAAATGACCATATTCTCTCCCTGTTCACATCAGCAAGATTCTTTGCTTTCTATGAGTACATATTTATTTATTTGCTATGTATTCCTAAAGCCAATTCCAGAGACTACAGATGGTATTTTTAAATTATTTTATTTTATTTATTTTTATTTTTAGACAGAGAGGAAGTGAGGGAGAGAGACAGAACATCAGTGTGTGGTTGCCTCTCACGTGGCCCCCACTGGGGACCTGGCCCGAAACCGAGGCATGTGTCCTGACTGGGAATTGAACCGGCAACCCTTTGGTTCACATCCCATGCTCAATCCACTGAGCTACAGTTTCACTCGGGAGTAGGTCCATGGAGCTCATCACACTGTTTCCTGGAATTAAAACCCTGAACCTTACACTCTTAAATGGGGAATATTACCCTTTCCTATTCTAGAGAAGAATATTCAAGTGGTTGTAAAACTTAGAGATGACCCCCTCCAGGGAAGAGGCTAAGAGTTAAACATGAGGTCCAGTGCAGAACATAAGCTCCCTGAGATGAACATGTTTTCCATAGCATTTTTCAGTTTAGTATCCAACTCTGGGTTTGTTTGTTTTTTCCAATTGAAATTTTTCTGATGTTTAACTATAGTTACAACATAATGATTTAAAAAAACCCATTCAGAAAAGCATTGTTTCATTATCTTTCACTTTTCCATAACTATAAGCTTGGTGTTTGGAAATGTAATTAATGTTTGTTTCTTGTTTTGTTAGAGGCAGTAATGAACCAGGAAAAAAGAAACAGCATATTTGTCATATCGAAGGATGTGGAAAAGTTTATGGCAAAACATCTCACCTACGAGCACATCTTCGTTGGCACACTGGAGAAAGACCTTTTGTGTGCAACTGGATGTTTTGTGGCAAAAGATTCACAAGGAGTGATGAGCTTCAGAGACACAGAAGAACCCACACAGGTTAGTTTACTTTTGGACTTACACTTTCTACTTATTTTTTCAGTGCTTAGATGAAAACTTTAGTGATAGTTAGCTATCAAATTCGAAATACAGAAATTCAAGAGCAGTCACTTTAACAATTATATGGGAGATGTTTAAGAGCAAAATTCTATACTTCATATTTTGTTCTACTTTTTGTAAGTTCTATCAGCATAATTACATGCCTTAGAATGTATTTCATCTGCTTATGTTGTATTCAAAGTATGATGAATCCCAATATGGTGGGGTTTTTTTTTCCCCAGTATTTAAATAGATGAAAATAGAGTTAAGATTATTGGTGATTTTTATTAGTTTTTATTTTTTTTACAATCCAGAAAATTAACTAAAAGTATCCAGAATAGTGATACCCACCTAACTTACTCAGAATTGACAACTGTCAATGTTATATGGTGTTATTTTTTTAGTAAAACAAATTGTGTGTAAAGTTAACATCATCTTTGTCCTCCTACTTCTCAAGGACAGAAGCTACCATGAATTTGAAGTGTAAGTTTTTAGTACAGTATTAATACTCTTGCATATATTGTTCATGGATATATATGGTAAATACCGTTTGTGTGTACTATGAAATTTTACATAAATGATATATTACAGTATCATAATTTCACTTAGTATGTTTTAAGACCCATCCAAGTTCATATATATGTGCATAATTGTGTATTACAAGTGTGTATATCTCTTAACTGCTATACCGTCTCTTATCACATGACTACTACACTGTATTAATCCATTTCCCATGCTGTTTAGGTTGTTGCTAGTCTTTGCTGTCACAGACTTTGCTCCTGTGTATATGTAGTGAAGAAGTATAAGAAGTAGAAATACTGGGTCATAGAGAAGTGTATGCTTGATAACTATAACATCTCTGCAGTGGCTGTTATCATCTGTACTTCACCAGCAGTGATTGGAGTTTCCACTGCGATGTGTGTTCACCAGTTTTCAATAGTGTCAGGCTTTGGAAGCTTTTGTCACTTTCAGACAAGTTCTCATTTTTTTAATTAGCAGGGGTTTTTTCTTTTTATACTGAGATCAGCGTCTTTTCATACATTTATTGGTCATTTAGATTTCTTTTTCTGTTGGTTAGTTGCACATTTTTCTTCTTGGTTTTTTTCCTTTTTCTTCCTGATTTATATATTGTACTTTCTCCATATAGTGCTAGTCTTTTATCTTTGTGCTGTCCTGTCATTTGAAGTTTTACATTCTTACTTACTTAAATATAAAAATCTATAAATAAAATTTTGTCTTTTTTTTAGCAAAAAATGTTCATAAAGTTTTAAAAAACATTTTTTCTGATGGCTTTAAGGTGATTTTTTTTTAAAGTATGGTCATTCTAGACTTATTAGTCTAGAATGTTTTTGATGATGGAGTGAAATGGGGATATACTTTTCTTCCATGTGAAAAGATATTTTTTGAATAGCCCACATTCCTAATTGATTTATAATGAGGCTTCTTTCATATATTTATGTCCCCTTTAAGAGTGGCTCAGTTTCTCGGTCCTTTGTTTTAAAGCTTTTGTTTATTTGTCCATTTCTATACCAATATTATATTGTTTTAATTACCAGTGGCTTTGTTAAATTTTGATATCTGGTAGTGCAGTTTTTTTTCCGTAAAATACTGACCCTCTCTATTTAGAACATGTCTGATAAATGAGATTTGGGACTCAATATTTAATTATTTAATGAATTAATAATTTAGATAAATTTTTTAGGTAAACTTTAACTTGTACCAAAGTATATATATCAGCTACCACATATCAGATGTTTCAGATATTTTAACTCATTTGATTGTAGCAACACTATGAGATATAAATTAGCTTCATTTTATAGATTAGAAAATAGTTTCAGAGAAGAAAAAATAGCTGTTAAATCTATTCAAAGTGGTAAGTTTGATAAGCATGTAAGTTAGTAACACAAATGAGTATATTGGTCAATCCCTTAATAAGCATTGTGCTAAAACTAAGAATTTTAATTTTTAAAAAAGTTTTAAAAGTTTTCTGTATGGTAGTCCATTGGGGCTTCTAAGGCCACCTCTCCATTCATATTGGAAAGTATGATGTGAATAAAAATTTGTCCTATAACAATGTTGATTTCTGTTTTAGAAAAATATGAGAAGATGCAGTATTTCCAACCTGACTTCGCAGTGGGAGAGATTAGGGACGCCAAGAAAAATTGCTGCTTTCTCTAATTTGGAACCACACATTGTGATTTTGTAATTTTGTTTGAGAAACAGAGAGGTTCTGGGGTGTTTATCTGTCACACCTCCACATTCATACAAATATATGGAAGAGGCTCGTCCACAGAGTTATATATATATATATATGTACTTTAAAACCAAAGTTTAATGATTTGGGAGAGTATCTGTTTTTGAATAATTCATACCATTATCATTTTCTACTAGCTTAAATCAGATTTATATGTACTTTAAAGGGTGCTTCCAGTGTTTTAAACATCTTAATACATTATATACAAAATAATTTAATTAAATGTTATTATGAAAAATGTTAAGCTGAATATCTATATTTTATTTTTAAAGATTAGTATTGTAGCCCTGGCTGGTGTAGCTCAGTGGATTGAGCGAGGGCCTGCAAACCACATGATCGCGGTTCAATTCCCAGTCAGGGCACATGCCTGGGTTGCAGGCCAGTTCTTGGAAGGGGACTCACAAGAGGCAACCACACATTGATGTTTCTCTCCCTCTTTCCTTCCCTTCCTCTCTAAAGATAAATAAAATCTTTAAAAAAAAAAGAAAGAAAAAGATTTAGTATTATAACTTTTCTCTATATATTAAAGTTGAAAAGAATATGAAATAATATCTTTTGAGATAAGTAAATATTGATTGAATGTTTGATATGTTAGATTGAATGCCTTGACCGTTCATGTCAAGAACTATGTTTTATTTCATGTCCAACCCTAATCTAAGTAGAAACTCAGGCCCTTACTCTGAATTAATTATTTTTAGCCACTGCTGAAAATAATACAGATTTTTTTGCTTTTTGTAAAATAAAAATTTAAAATATTGCCCAGTGATACATGTATGTGCTATTTAAAATTCAAATTATACAGAAGAGCTTGCAGTGACTCTGTCCCACCCCAGTTCTGCTCCTCAGAGAAAATGATATTTAATATTTTAACTACTTTTACATTTTTATTCTTCCTGTGATGGCTACCATATATCTAAATAATGTTGTGCTTATAGTGTTATTTATTGATTTATCAGTATTAGACACTATTGACTTTTCACATCAAGAGTTAAGAATTTATGTCACTTTGCACCATCTGATGACATTCAAGTTTTCTTTTTTACCTGTGAGTGGGCCCAGCATTATCTCTTGACACACTGCTCTATGATACTGTTATCCTGTCTGTTCATTTTTCATCTCTTTCACATCTTAACTTCTCTCACCTAAACTTTTACCGTTTCTCTTCTTTCACTTGATGTTAGCTTGCATTCTTTTTCAATAAGCACTGTCTCCTTTTTATTACTAAATTTTTAATGCTGAAAATTAGTAAATAATTATTACTATGTAATATACTATGATTACATAGTTTCTCTTGTGTGTTTTTTTTTGTGAATTTTCTAATTGCCTTTTTCCCCTTTCATTGTTATTTTAACATTTTTATTACTTCTACTCTTCAAGAATAGTATCATCTACATCCATCCCCTCCACATTACTGGAGGTCTCCAGCTTTTTGTTAAAATGCTGAGTCCTGTCTAGGGCAGTTACACATCTGTAAACTTGAGACTTTTCTGTTCTTTTAGTTTGGATCTAGTGTTCTCAAGATCTCATATCTTAATTTTTTTCAGTTTACTCCCTTGGTTGCTGGAAAACACTCTGAAATGCTTTCTGTAAAGACGCTTTGGGGAACCCTGGCCGGTGTGGCTCAGGCTCAGTGGGTTGGGGCACATGCCTGGATGGCAGGGCGGGGCCCCAGTCGGGGGTGTGCAGGAGACACCCAATTGATGTTTCTTTTGCACATTGATGTTTCCATCCTTTCTCTTCTTCTCTCCCCCTCTCTAAAAATAAATAAATATGTACATTTTAAAAGTGCACAGGAAAGTAAGTTTGTCTAAAAATGTCTTTATTTTGCTTTTCCACTTAAATTGATGGTTTGGCTTTTACACAGTTCTAGGTTGAAAATTATATTCACGTAAAACATTAATGGAACTGCTCTATTATCTTCTTGCATGTTATACTAATGGGTCTGTTCTTTTTTTCTTGTGTTTTTGTAGGTGACCTGATTTCCCCTTCAACTTTTAAGGGTTTATTTATTCTTCTTATAACTTTTTATTTTAATGTTTTATACTTTTGTAAGAGTTCTTGTAATATAGATAGTTCTTGTATACCTTTCACCTAGATTCTTCTAAAATTAACCTCTTTTATAACTATAATAACTTATAAAAATTAACATTGGTACAATACTATTATTAATTGAGCTACAGATTTGCCCACAGACATACTTTTTCGGTTCCAGGATTCAGTCCAGATACCACATTGCATTTGTCTGTCACAGCTCTTTGGTCTCCTGCAATTGGTGAAATTTCCTTATCCTTTCCTTGGCTTTTCTTACCTTGACACAATGGAAGGTTAGTTATTTTGTAGAATATCCCTCAATTTGGGTTTGTCTGATACTTTCTTATGATTATATTGAGCTTATGAATTGCTGTTGGGGAGACTACCACAGATATTACTGCCCTTCTCATCGCATCATGTAAGAGAGTATGTGATGTCAGAATATCCTATTATTGGTGATGTTAAATTAACCTTGAGGAATTGGTTAAGATGATGTATGCAGTGTATACCTGGCATCTCCACTGTGAACTCATTTTATTCTTTCTATCTTTTGTTCATTAGAAGCAAGTCACTTAAGTCCAGTCTACATTCAAGTGGAGGTGAATGAAGCTCCACCTCCCGAAGGGAAGAGTATGAAAGAATTTGTGGCATTACATGAAAACCACAGTAATTAGCA